CCAGTGCTTCGGCAGTATTAGCTGAGCTGAATCTACTAGGTCTCACATATTTACTCAGACTACAGACCGTGTTAAGTAGTAGGAGTTTGGCCCAGCTAAATAAATGAGGACAAGGGCACTAGACCTGAGAAGTTAGAGCAGCCACAGATGATAAGCTGGTGTCTATCATGAAATGTGAACCTTTGCAAATGGTGAAATGGTGACAACCTCTTCCCATCCTTCCTCAGAAGGCAGCAAGTATTATATTTAGTTAGGATAAGAGTAAAAAATGGCAAATAAAATGAATCGTTGAGAATTATGGAAGACACCAAGCTCTGTGCATTGGGTAGCAGAACAGTGCAAGGTTTCCTACGTGTGGTGATGCACTGGAAAAAAAAAAGAAAAAAGGAAAAACATATTAAAAACTAACATCCAGCCCCAAAGCTGGCATTTCTGATTGAGAGTCCTATGCTTCCTGAGGAGAAAGAGCATCTATAAACTATTTTTCACTACAGATGAACAGATTGGATGTTGAGAGAAGAAAATCAAGTGAATTAAGTAGGACTATATTTTATTCATTATCACTATATTGCAGTACATTTTAAGAGCCATTACCTTTTTCAATCTATTAAAATTTCAAAATTTTCTGTGCATTTTGGTTTTCCCATATAATCAAAAAAAAATCTTAAGATATTATCATGTTTTGAAATCTGCCATGTTGAATTTAGTTCTGTGGTGATGGCTGATAAAATCTCGATTAAAATCTTTTTGTTAAACCTTTATTTTAGAAAAAAAAATTATTAAAATCCTTACTACATAAAGTAGYAGAGTAACCCCTGTTTTAAGAACAGTTCCAACTCCCAAGGTCTGATTCTCTTCTCACTTTCAGCGGTGTAACTGTGAAATTTCACTGAAATATATCATGTTAGAGCTACTTCTCTTTTGCAGAAATAAGGGGAGAATCTGGCCTCATTATTTTAAATGACTGCAAACAAACAAACAAACAAACAAAGAGCATAATGCACTTTCAATCAGTCAGAAAACTCAGGCATTTCTTCTTGCTCATCTTTTCCTCACTGTAATAAAAAAATTCTTGCCTAGCCCTATGCAACTGCACTGACAATGTTAAGTGGGAGACCTATAAGACAACCTTTTTCTATGAAAGCAGATAGTAAATGGAGCTACTGACAAACTTCTAAAGACAGAACTGTAGTTGTTAAAACACTACTTCTGTCCTAAAAGCAATGTATTAAATGCTACAAGAGTTTCTAATGAGGGAAAATATATTCCCATTTTAAAGTAAAGAATTAGATCTCTTCTAGTGGCAGAATTTTCAATAACAGCTGCTCACAAAGTATATGGTTCTCCACATTTCCATATGGATCTGGGAAATTAGCATAAACATGATTTCTTTTTCTCTCAGTGTCCATGGGTACAGCAAGTACACCTTACACAGATTCTGCTCTTTCTTAAAATAAGTTACTATATCCCAGCAACCACCATGTGCTTTTTAACCGAAGCGAGGTTGAAGGAAAGATTGTGGGGTGAGTGGTTTGGTGGGTAAGGACATAAAGGCTTCAGTTTTAGGAACACAGTTAACTCTAAACTGAAGGCTCAGAATGAGCCTTTGTTTGCAGAACTAATACACAGAATACAACTTCTACAAAGATTTCAGTGAGATTCAAAATAATTGTCACATTTGCTGAGAATGAACAAACCTGAGTGTTGAATATATATATATATATTTTTATATATATATATATATTTTTTTTTTTTTCCCTCCTCCTTCAAGATTGTCCATCATGCTTTTTAGTTACCAGTAGACACTGCTAAGTGTATTTACTGGGTAATATCTGAAATATATTCAGTTGGTAGATATTTATTATGATCTGAAGAAATCTTCAGATTTCTTCAGATCATAATACATGTCAAGTGATTCCAAAATACATGTCAAGTGATTCCACTGTGAATGAGAGAACCGGAAAAGACAATTTCAGTGAGAGATACTACATGTGAATAAAATTACCACACATGCAAAAAAAGTCMTAAGTTATCTGTTTAGACCATTAAACCAAAAGAGCTCAAAGAAAACCATTAACTGAACTCAAAGAGCTTTAAAATTCTCTTAATATTAACTACTCCATTTACATCTGCTACAGTAATCAGGATCAAGATAGCTTTGCTCAATTTTCAGTCATACAGGTATTAAAATTAATCTCAAGACATTTTCCCCTTGAAAAACAGTGTAATGCCTATTAGATATATAACCTGGTGTGTCTTCTGCTCTTTCAAATAAGTTGTGGCCTCAAGATTCATTTCTTCAGAAATGCTCAGCATAATTAATCCCAGTAAAAAAAGATTGAAAATCTCTGATTAATAAACTTAACAAGTTAAACCAGCACTACAGGAAAATTCATGTAATCTTTAGGTTTGAGTGTTGATTGCTCTGAACAAGATTAAGACCTTGTAAGCATGAAGTCTAGTGGTCTGAAAGTGAAAAAAATGGACTCCTTACAAGGCAAATATGTGTAATGTAGTCAGTTTAACCGATCAACTTAAATATTTAAATGTGCGGCAGATTTATATCCTGTGCCTAAAAATACATCCCAACTACACGAAGAGCCGAGCCATCTTGCAGATCACATACTTTCGTAGGCTTGCTTCCCCTATTGTCATGTTAATTATCAAGTAACAGCATGATAATTACATGTCTTTTTTTTGCTAATATGAGACTCTTGTTCCAAACCTACACCCTGCACAAGCTCCTGAAATGGTACYGGTAGAGCTGGCCTACTGGCACAAGTATTTTGCCTTACAAGCAGAATACCAAAGCCCAGAGCACCAAAACAATCAAATGACTTAATTCAGAGCTGGCAACACATATGCGAGAAACAAAAAAATTGTTCTTTGGTCTTTGCTGCTGTTCACTAGATTGCTACCTTTAAGTAATACACATTTCAGCTACCTACATTTATTCGGCTGCCTCTAGAGGAGTGAAAAGAAAAGAGATGCCCACTGAATTTTGAGTGCACCCACAAAATTACACATTTGCATGCAARATTGCCTATCAGCCTCATCTAGCCAGGCCGCTGTTCCTGCAGAAAAAGGATTTTGCAGGTGCAGAAAATGCTCTTTCTGAAAATCTCAAAGTTATAAAACCAACAGACATTTGCAATGTTAGGTTTTCAATCAGAGTTCTGCTCCTAAGTCTTCTTTCAGTGTGAGGCATGTTCTAAATCCCTAACCAGAGGCCTGATTACCCATTCCCACAAGAAAGCTTGCAGGAAAGAGAGAAGAGATCACAGGAAGCTTTTCCTGTTAAGAGTATTCTGGCTTTGAGCCACTAAGGGAGGGCAGGGGATTGTTTAGGGGATAGCACTGGTGTTCTGCTGAACAGGACACGGGCTGACCAGAGGTAAGAGGGTTAAATCCCTCGGGTGACAGGAAAGGCTTGCTCTTTCTAAGAGGATTTGAACTGAGAGCGGAAAAAATGATGATGGAGAGGAGGAAGAGATCGTACACTTTCCTTCTCGTCCTAACTCGCAGAGATTTTTGTACTGCTGTCAGTATCTCCTCTCCTTGTGCTGCGAGATCGTGAYGGAAGCAAAACAGTATCATACCACGTGTTGACATAAGGATAGATAGAAAAGTGATACATATATATAGAGATATATGCCTGGGCTACAGTCTTGCTGATGTATGGTGCCTGTGACATCTGATGCCTATAAACAGTATGTTTGCTCCATCAGAAGGATTTCACATGCAACTTATACACTTCATTTCTTCCATTGCGAGACTCAAGTATATGATTAGCCCAGGGGAAGATTCCAAAAGCATCACTACCACTTTAAATTACATGATAATTTAAAGATATCCAGATACTTAAAAATCTGAAACCAACACTTTCTAAAAAATGTAATTACTTTTTAAAAGAGTAATTTAAATGTACAGGCCAGGTCATTCAGTAGAATTCAGGACTGAATTTACATTGATTTCTGTATCTTTAACACAAGACCTCATTCTTCCAATGCTTTTTTAAATGTTGTCATTAGATGCCTAATGACTTAGATGTTTTGAAAATGAGGCTTACTTCTGTAAATCCTGCAAGCCTTTTTTTTTTTTTTTTTTTAAAGTTTTACTGGGTGTTCTGCTATTGCAGCAAAATCCTTAAAAGCTTCATTTATTTTGCATGACTTGAGTCTTAATGTGATTGGATATTAAACTGACTTTTCTGTAAATATTAGAAGCTGGGTTTTTTTTCAGCAATTGTAAATACAACTTGTGGTATTTAATAGCGCAGATATATTTTTGTAATTATAGCTGATTTCTAACATTCTGATAATACTATTGTTATACTACTAGTAGCAGCATTTTGTATGAGAGGGATTTAAAGCATTTGTTAGATGGCGTGGCTTAGAAGTTCTGTTCTTACCTAAGAAGTTCTTAAGTTCTGTTAAACTGTAACCTACTATCTCTGTAAATAAACAAAAAAAACCTTTTTTTTTTTTTTTTTTTTAAAAAAAAAGCCTTGGAGTAGTGATTCTAAATCTTTTTCCTCCACATCTTTTATGCTGTATTTCTCAGTTCCTTACAGCTGGCTTTTGCAGTGAGGGGTCAGCGTGTGCCAGGCGCCCCGGGGAGCAGGGCGGCCGCAGCTACGCAGACACAAGGGAGAGACTGAGCGGCGAGGAGGCAGCCGGGGCAGGGGCCGGGGCAGAGCAGCAGAGAGAGGCAGAGGGCGAGGAGCCGCCGCCGCCAGCGCGGGAACTCCTGCCGAGCACGTGGGACAAAATCTACAGCTCGCAAAATACAGGAATTGCCTCCAACCTCTGCTGCTCTTCGGCACGTCTCCCACAACCTCAACGCCCCCCAAAGTCTACCTTTTCCACCCCATTCTGTTCTCCTGCCACCAGGTCACCTCTCGGATATTGTTGAGACCCTTGAGAAGGCACCATCAAGCTTCTGGCCCTGAGTAGCTCCACCCCGGAGGMAGGTGGAAGCGGAGTCCTCCAAAGCCTTACCTCCACAATATCCGAATTCGTTCGACTCTCATGCGGCTCATTGTACTCTGTGTACTTCAGCAACACCTTGTCCATGTCAGTGCTGGCGTACTGGAACAGTTTGTTGGTGCTGTTRAAGATGATCAGAGCAATCTCACAGTCGCATAGCACGCTCAGCTCATAAGCCTTCTTCATTAACCCAAATTTCCTCTTCGTAAATGTCACCTGGAGAGGGAAAAAAAAACAAACAAACAAGTCCATCAAAAATCCCTAAGTCAGTCTTTGTAGCCCTTTCTCTTTTCTTGGAAATATAATACAACTGCTGCAGTCCCTGACTAGAGCAAGTTTAGAAGGGAAGTCCATAAATACAAATTTTGTTCCAAAATACAATATATGTATGCATTTGTRTGTGTTACATAATTGAGGAAATATATGTAATCCTCATTGCATAAAAATCAAGCTACAAGTAAAAGCTACATTTTCATTAAGTAGCTGTATCTACTTTTAATGCTGCATCTTTTTCCCTAACCYTTTAATTCTTAGAGTTTTGCCCTTCTTCGACAGTATATTTACACTGCATGCATTTTTCCCATCAATATTTTAAAGCTGTACCTCATATTTGCAATTGTAAGAAGTTTGAACAGAAGGTGCAGTCAGTTCCTATTTTTGATAGTGATTGACTGATTTCTTCCTGTCGCCCAATCCTGGCTAACCAGATTTTTAGCAGGGGAAATTCTCATACAGAATTTTAATCAGAGTAAAAGAGATGCAGAATTTATGTAAAGAATTGATAGCTTGGAAGAACTCTTGATAGTTTGGAAGAACTGTCTAGTTTAAAAGAGTCCAACATTTTATTTTGCTTTCACATTCTCATTTGAGAACATAAAAYCTAAAGCAAGAATGAAGAGCAAAGTCTTGCTCGTCAGCAAATAACATCTTGAGATAAAGTTTTATCTATACACAGCTGTAGCATTTATTTCATTGCAGCATTTATTTCATTTCAAAATAGATGCTTAAAAATATGCACTGGCATTTTTTAGTGCAAAGACCACGATCATATTACACAGGCAAAAATAGGTGTGTGTTGCAGAGTTCTCAGTAAGGCAGCTAATGCCCGGAAACTTTATGCAAAACTTGGGCGGTACAGAAGTCATCTCTATAACCTGTCCATCAGTATTATTTTCCATGGGGACTCTTTTGACAAAAAACGACCTGCACATCGAATAATTTCCCTCCTCCCTCTTTTCTACACCAGCTTACAGGTTTCAATGAGATATGTGGCTTACAATAGGAAACTACCAAGAGATGTTTAAACAAACTGTATAGCTGAAATMWTTTCTGCCTTTCCTGTCTCTTCCTATAGAGTTAAGTACACACAATGATTTTTTGTGGTTTTWTTTTTACATCCATTTRCTTCTGTAGCAATTTTTAGTAATATAAACAGTTAYGATAAAAAACACCGTTTTGCTAAGGTTATTTATTATTAACCAAATTTGTCATCTAGTGAAGTTTCCAGTCAAGTTYGCCTAATGCCACACTTGCTGCAACTGCTCCTAGGTAATAGCTCTGCAGTTGGTTTAAGGCTGCGGCAAGAAGATTTCCCTGCACAGGCTTTGCTGAGCTGCTGTTTTCTCTTGTCGCTTTTCTAATGCAAGTTAATGCTAACTGCAACCCCAGCCTTAGCATCCCAGCGGGCCAAGCCTTAGAAAAGGCAACCTTTAAGTAATGCTAAGCCCTRTTTGCTAGCCCATCTCAAAAAGATGAGGCTCTGTGCCAAAACTCCATACATTTATTCTCCCAAATGTACACTAAGTAGTTTTGCTCTTATTGCCATTATTGCCTTTGCTCGTTAGCCTTTCTGTCAACATACTGTTAAGAAAAGATGGATTACAATTAAATATAATTATTTAAGCCTTAAAAAAAAACACTTTGCACAGCACTGGTCTCAAGTATATGTATTTGATAGTAAGTTCTATCAAAAAAATAAAAAAGGTCTCTGTCAGTGGCTTTTGGCACTGGGAGTGGATAATGAGATAGGTAACTTCATTCAAATTCTGACAAATATATTATTACTTCAAATACTCCATTAATATTTTCCCTGACTACAGAAAATTGTGATGCATTTGTTTAGAAACATATATGTATCTCAATATATACATCATGTTCTAGATAAAGGTAAACACATAGAAAATAAAATATACCAGCTCAACATATTTTTCTGCATCTAAAACTCTTTTCAATCAACTTTTTGACCACACTGCTGTAGGTGGAGTGTCTCTGTACAGTATGGTTTCTGTTGCACAGAAACCTCAGAATTTAGCATGTTACAGCTTCTTACCATCAAAGTACACCCTGGTACAGAAATATCTTTAAGGCCACTGTTTGTGTTTACTGTTAGGTGCTTCTGAACATTTAGAGCAACCACACAGCTGTGCTGCACAGCACATACTTATTTCATAACACTTATCACCAGAATGATACTGGTTAGAGTTCCTTTTTGTGGAAACTGAAAGAAAGGACAAGAGATAACATCTTTCTTTCTTTCAAGCATAATCTTAATTGCTGTGAATTCAGCTGGCTAATAGCTCCTTGATCTTTCTTACATTTTCCAAATCTATTAGACAATGCATTCTGCCACTGCTCATAAATGCATGAAGAGCAGTTGTAACTATTACTGTTTCTGCAGTGACCTGGAMTATTGTTATTCTTTTTAAATAGACTCATTGACAGCTTGCACTTTACAGCATTTACATTTAAAGCATTTAAAGATAACAGTGTGCGTATGTAAAACTATATATATAAAGTGTATCACTCTTCTACAGTAGTTTATAGTGAGGGTGGTAACTTGTGTTTTCAAATATACGGTGAAAGTTCAGTATCCTCAAGAAAGATTTAGATTATCTTTCAAGACATTTAAAAACAAATGATTGTTATAWTTTTTTTGTTGCTTCATTAGGAATATGAATACACTTCAAAACATATAAGTGAGCAATATAAGTAAACTGTATCTGTATTACTTATTTTTTCATCACAATTTGTTACGTTAGCCATATTCACCTAGASTAACAGCATATAACACATATCATCTAAGGTAACAGTGAAAATTCAAATATTGCAGAAATTTTGCTGAGCGGCAAAGATTTGCATAAATTATTAAAAACAATTTGCCTCCTTTGTGGAGGTGGAAGGAGCTGGAAAGCTCCACTGCAGAAGCCCTGACTGCACTTTAACTATTTTCCTTGTGCAGAGCCAGCTCTGGGAGCGAACAAAACACGCACGACCCTCCAAACAGAAGCTTTGCAGTAGCTGCAGCTATAGGACCAGTAAAGCCCAGTAATCACCAGTCTTGCTGTCACCTTCTGCATTTGAATTACTGAGTTGTGATAGCGTCAGATATCAGCATACAATCTGCCATTTTGTTAGGACGGTGTCTTTGGGAGGAAGATTCCTAATAACCAAAAAAGCACTTCAGAGACTGGAAGAAAACAAAAGGACACTAAACCATTTATATTCTAGAAAGGATATCCAATAAGATGCATGGATTTCAAAGGAATTTGTTTAATATTTAACTTTTTTCAGCAGCAAGAACCAAATCAACACATATTCTTCACTGATAACTTGAGACAAGGAAAAAATAATTATGCCTGCTGTCTAAGTTGGATTTGGAAGATGTAATTCACTTCCCAATTTGTTGGTCTCTCTCAGTTTACATATTTTCTGCTTTTCTGGAGAAAGGCAGGCAATTTATGAGGTCCTTCCCTCCCAGGCTAGGACACTACTTTAGAATGATAGGGTGCAAACTGGGGAGAATTAAAGTGGGGAAGGAAGTAGAAAAGATAAGTGGCYAACATCCAAAAAAACTGTGCAGTGAGTTCCATATTTTTCTCCGAAAATAACAAAAAAWCCCCAATTCCATTACTGTGTATTACTCCTAGTCAAAATAAAACAAAAGAACCCTAGTCTACTACTATTTGACTAAGCAGCCCTGTTCTTCTACTTATTTAACATTTCATTTTTTCTATACCTCCTTTTCCTTTTAACTTTTTTTGCTTTTCAAACCTCTCAAGCCACACTGCACTCGCACTGGGAATGGTGGTATGTAGAAGATTGGATACCTCAAGGTTGCTGCATTTTTTTTTAAATGGAAAGTAGTACAAAGGCTGAGGACTATAGGGGCTGAATAAATCAAACACTTCCTTCAAGAATTAGGAAACCAAACCAAACCCAAGCGTAGGAGCCAGCTTCCGCCTTCCCTGATAAAAATCAAGGTCAGATTTTTGAGCGTTTTGGATGAAATTCCGGCAAAAGGTGACCCCCCCTGGGTGTGCTAGCGGAAGGACTGACAAACGAGGCTGGTCGGAAGGATATTTTTCTTCCCTAGCATGGCGAGACCACTCAGCCAGCCCTCCTTGTGCACAGCTGCTCTTCCTGAGGCTGCTCTAGGACTTGTCCTTGCAGAGCCCGTGGCCGGGGCTTAGGCAGCCAGAGAGCAGGCGCACCCGAGCACACGCTGCTGTGTGCTCCCGTGGACGCTAACCTGGCCCAGAGCCAGGCCTTCGTGTTTAATCTGTAGCGAGCAATGCTTACTTCAACTAAATACATTGGGAGATAATGTTTCTTGATTGTGAGCGTAGATTCTTTGACAGGCAGATATTTAAATATGTGTTGCTATACACATATGCGAGCAAATCCAGCCAGTTTTTTTAACCCGGATACAGTATTAGCAAATGGGGAGAGCAGCCACCAGCAGCAGCAKCCTTCTTCAGCTAAATTTCTAGCAAAAACGTTGTGCTCAGTGTAGATGTTAATACATCAGCGGAGGAACAGACCAGATACAAAATCTCCCGGGCTCATTCTGGGTGACTGAGCTCTAATAGTAGTGCCATTAAGAGAATGCTGTATTTGTCACTACAGTCGCAGTGTATATACCTATATTTTGTGTTTAAAGTAGCAGTCCTGTGCTCTTTCAAGTAATTCAGTTTAGTCAGTGGCAAAATACCAGAGTTCCCTTTACTTCTTCCTATCCTAATTAGGAAGAAATATAGTTGCTGACATAGGAAAATGAGAGAAACAGGGAATTTGCACATAATCCCCATATATGTTTCCTGCCATTAAACACGTGTGAGTGGCTAGGGAAAACAGGTCCCACTTAGGTATGCCGKGTGTCCAAAAGAAGTATTATCCTGTTTGTCCATCTGAAACACCTGGATTTCAGACACAGGGAC